ACTTGAATTTTTACTACTGAGTTTTATTAAGTCTTTAGGCTGTTGTGGCTACAAATAATTAAAAAATGTCCAGCATTAAGCTATAAGTAAAAAATTAGTTATTATTTTATTTTACATAATTATGATGATCATTTTTATAAGTTTGACGTTGTTGAGTACGTTGAGATGCAGAATTTGTTGAAGTCCTACTATAAGTACTGCTTCGGGATGAAGGTATCCAAGAATCTTCATACGCTAATAAACTTGATCTATCATCTTCAACGGTATTTGTTTGTCTATAAACATAATCAACAACAAGCCAATCTCGGCTGTAAGCTCTAACAAAATCACGTACATGTGGTGCTAGTTTGGTGCTATATTTGACAAAACAAGATAACACAATATTAAAAAAATAATGAAAAGTAATTGTTTGAAAAATTAAATATGATTTCAATACACATACATATCTTCTTCTGGACCTGCAGGTATCAGTGAACGCACTTTACGAGCCAAAACATAAACGTCTACATCGTCTGAACCATCAGGGAATTCCATTAAAGGATCATCATTCTCAATACTGTTACTGCCACCACAAGTATGATTTTGGTGATTATAGTTTTCATAATCCACAGGCTCCACAATTGTAGGTATGATAGCGTCTACTCTAGTAGAAATATTTTGATCATTGTTTGTTGGAATAATATTAGTGTTAAAAGATGATGCTGAATCTTCTGACGATTTTGGAGGAGAATTGACACTAAAAATTAAAACCAAATGTATTTTTAACGTGTTTCAAATACAAACTTAATACTATATGGGTACATACTTGCTGTTGGTGAGTTTTTGAGCAAATGCTCGTTGCATCTGAGATACCATGGGTAAAGGTATGTATTAATGAAAATATTTTGAACTCAGGGCGAACGCCATAGTATGTATAGTTTCTATGCAAATATTCCGAACATTAAAACGTCGATCACTGAACATAACACAATTCTACATAAAACACCTTTCGTTTTTTGTAAACATTACAGTATGAAAATATACAGTTCAAAATTTTTCCTAGTAGACTGGTAAATATAATGATTAAAACGAGATGAAAAGAAAGTACTTTAATCGAGTATTATGTCAAAACTCAAAAACAATCCTAAACAAAAGACGATTACCATTGACGGACGTTTAAATTACAATATAATTAATATAAATCGTTGTCATTGATATTATGACATAAATACATTATTTATTGATAAAGTAAAAAGTATTACGAGTATTATATTATCATCATAATTCATAACAACAATAATAATATTGATAAAATATTACGAGTATAATCATAACAATATTATTATCATTATTTATATGTGTCGTAACTAGTAGTGTGCCATGGCCGTGGAGGTAAAACGTTAATAATATTAAAAAATGTATGTTAAGCCTCGTTCACACAATACTACAGATTGACACAATGTCATAAACTCATGACTTTTGTACTTAATGCCTGTCAGTGTCTAGCATCAGAGCCCAGAGATCAGCATCTAGTTTTGCGCATGTGCCCTACGTTATCCGCACAACAAATTAATTTGATACGTTATCAACTTTAAACATTAAATATTTTAATATAATTACATAGCCCTTAGATCTTATAGGAAGTAGGTACCAGTATAATTATATATCCTAAATCGTGTACTGAGCATAAGGTCTGTCTGTAATTATCAGATTTGTATTCTTTTTAATTTTTTAGCATATTATTATGATTGAATGAGTTTTCATTTGCGAGAAAATATTCTTAAATATTCTTGCATATTATAAAAAATGTAATTTAAATTGTGATTTAGCAATTTAAACAGTACCTTTTGACAATTATCATTTGTTAAGTGTATCGAATTATTATATACCTGTTAGCAGTGGTTGAAGTGAGAGGGGGGGGGGATATGGTGGGATGGAATCCTTCCACTTTTATAGTATACATTTTCCATCCAGCAACTTATTTGGTCAAAAATGAGGCATCCCTTTATAATTTTATACAAATATTATCGATAAACATACTACATAGCCAAGTTATATATACATTTGTTGTAAAATACTAGGAGTCAAAGGCAATATTTTTTATTTAGCATAGTTTGCAAGTTTAAATCTTTTTTTCCATAAAAGTGGATATTTTATTATATTTGTATTTGAAGTGCATTTTTCACATATTACCTATACAATATTTAATTTTAATTTTTTGATTAATTTTTCAAAAGCAATTAAATATAATAAATAAAATGTGTGTTTAAAAGTTTATTTTTTTTTTATATATCTTCCAAGTAATGGTATGACTATTAAATTATACCAGCGGTTCTTAACCTTTTATAGAACACGGACCCCCGATGAAAATTTTTTAGAAATCGAGGAACCCCTACCAATTTTAGGCTGCCGACTAAAGTGCTGTACAATCGTATGAACAAGAAAAACTGATAAATAAATATTAATAATACAATTTTTAGGTTTAGAATATTAGATACTTAATTGTATCGAGTTCCACACTGTCATCGGTATAATAAAGATAAGATAGGTTTATCTCTTACAATATAAGATATATTTTATAATTTTATATGAAAAAAAAAAATAATAATCCAAAAATATTGTAATAATGTACTCATGTGACATATTGACTTATGTTAGGTGTTAAGGCTGCCTTGGATCTCCCACATGAGTATTGTGGATCCCCAGGGGTAAATTATTTAAATTTAGACACACTTAAAACAGCCAAACAAATTAAAAAAATTTTAATTCAATAACTAACACGTTATGAAACAATTTCTATCATTTTTAATTTTTATTAAAAACTTTTATTTTTGTGTGACAAAATATTTCAACTTGAGAAATGAACGAATGAATAAATAATGCAATATATGAAATATAGGCCGAATTTTCTTTAATCTTTAAGACATGCTGTAATATACCAAATGCTTTTTTTTTTTTAAGAATACTGTTCTGAATAAGTTGTCCAGATAATTTACTCCTGTTAAGCTGCATATTGCCAAAAAGTATATGTAAAAACTTAAAAACCCTCTCTCCTGATGAGATACCTATTCAACATCTATAAAAAGGATACTTAGTGCAATTAGTTATTTGATGATTTTAGATGTTGATTAACTCTGTATGGTAAGTATGTTGCTTTGAAAATCAATATTTATTTGGAGGCAACAATTATAAGCGTTTTCACCAAAATAATTTATTGTAGTTATCTTTTACAATACTATATTTACTAATTATTACTATTTTACTGTATTGTACTCGTAACTAACAATTATGTAAAAATTGTATTCAAATACAATAGAAAAATAGCTGGTAAATTGTTAATAATTTGTTTACAAGAATATTTGTAATAAATAAATAATTTTTTTTAAAATAGAAAATTATATTTAAGTGTTTGCTTGAAAGTATGAAACCTATAATAATCCTATTCCTATTTTTAAAATTCAATAAATAACATATACTGATACACTAAATTACTAAAAATAAATTCATTATTGATAGAAAAGTCTTTATCCATATGTCCTTTATGAAATATTGAAAACATGGATGATGAACCAGGGTTTGAACAGTTGGATACATGTTCACCACCCTTATTCTTATTCTCTAACTTTCTCTACCTCTCTTAATGAGTTATCAAAAGCCATTGCATTATTTCCTTTATAATAAAAATGAAATTGAAATTATTACAATACAGACCTCGGTAGACCAACTTTTTATTATAAGATCTGGGATGGTTGGATAAGAGAATTTGCCTATAAAAAAAAGGAACTAATTATCATAAATGCAAAAATATATGCTTGTATATTTCATTTACAATTAATAAATAATTTTAAAGTTTTCTCATTGCATATAATATTATAACATAATTTTACTAAACCAAACTGGGTATTTTGTATTAATACGGTTCAATTCACAAATGTTACTTTTTGTACATCAGTAAAATGTAGAGAAAAGAAAATGTCAAATTACTGAAGATGTCTGACTAACAGTCTTATGTTGGGTCCACACAGTCTGGTTTTTGTTTTTCTATTTTTAAAAACAATTTAGATAATCCCAATCTGTGTTGATAAAAATTGAGTTGATGTTTTATTTTATTGTCCTGTGTGCACCCGGCATTACTGTACTATTTATAATATATAAAACAATTGAATAAGATATACACACAAAAAAAAAATCCTTTGTATAAGAGAGTTAATTATAGGTAGTGTTTAATTTTGTTTTTATTTACAAAAAGTCACTCAAATAAAATAATATTTTCATTTTATTCACCCTATATAAAATAATTTAAAATTCGTTTTATTCCCCATCTTATAGGGCCAAAAACACAATACATTATAATATATAATACTATTACATATAGTTATTTATCGTTAAATTTGTTTTTGATTAATTCTCTACATTATTAATGGGAAGAGAAGTATCATGGCACCATTTTTATTAACATTGCCATAATATAAACGTATAAAAAAAATTATAATAAATAAATTCATTAACATATAACCAATAAACATTAAAGATAAGTACAAATTATAAAAATATAAATTAAATAAAACCTTCTCCTTACAACTTAATACAGCATAACTTCATACTAATGTATTATTTTTGAACAATTTTAATTTAATTTAAAAATTAAGAGTTGTTACAGGAATGATTACACTAAGAAATGAAAAATTATTAAAAAAAGCCAAAAAAAAAATATTAATAATTTCTTACATATAGGAACCGAAACAGTCTTTTTTAGATTATTTAACAATTTTTTACACCAATTCTTTGTAATAATAATGCGGGAAAAGGGTAGTGTTTGATGAGTTACCTAAAAAAATAAACAATGGAAGATAAAAATAATAATTAATATTCGACTAGTTTATTTGTTAGTTATTTATACAGAAGTATAAAATTTATTTGGGTAAAAATTTGGCTAGAAATTATATTTTATGTATTAAGAGAATACATGTTTTTGTTTACAGTTTTATCTAAAATAATAATAATTCTAATTTATACAAACATTTGGTAAGAAAAAAATAATTGTAATAATTAATAAAAAATATAAATAATAATAATGAACAATTGCTGTAGTATCTACTATAAACCACTGTGTACTGTGTTTTCTTTTTGGTGATCTTGATGATTTTCAAGCACAGTATTATGATTTAAGCCACCTCCACCACCTGGACAATGTTGTTCAAATGGTTGTGATCCCACAAAACAACAATCTTCTTCAACAACCACACTACTAGAATTCCTACTATGGTTGGTTGAATGATATCTTTTAGGTCTCCCAACATCCCATGTAACTGTAGCTGCAGCTGTTTGTTGATGCTGTTGGAGTCTCCTTCTTTTAGCTGTTGTTCTAGTAATTTTACCCACCACTGTCACCTGTGATGATGGTAGTGTTGTTAAACATGAAGACGTTAAATTATACGCAGCAGACGACTTCTTAGTTTTGCTTGCAGTCATTGTTTTTTTTTGATTCAATGCTGCAGGGGATCTACCAGATGTTGACAGTAATTTCATACGATTATTACGTGTTGATATAACACATTTCAATTTACCTGTACTGGATTGTGGCTGAACTACATTCTCTTTTTGTTGTTCAGAGGATGATGGAGTTTGGTTTTGACAATTCTGTTGTAACATCTGTAATTTTAATCGTTGCCGTCTACCAACACTTCCCACAGGCCTTCCACATCTTCGTTTTACAATTGTATTTGGTGTAACAGGCGATGCCGGCACTATTGGTGAAGAGGTTTTATTTTGTGCAGGTGTACGTTGCTTTCTTGTTTTTCTTACTTTTTTCACTTTAGTGGTAGTACTACTGGTATTGCTACTACTTGCTGTTGTACCATCACTACTTACACTATTGTTACGACGGTATGTTGCAGTTTTATTTTTCTTATTAGGGCCAGGACGTCGACCTGGACGACCTGGACGACCTGGACGACCAGGGCGCCTTGGACGCCCCGGTCCTCGACCTCTCCGCTTAGGGGAGGCAGCTCTTATCTTAACTTTGGATTTTTCTTTGAGAAGTTGCTGCTGCTCTAATTTTATACGTTGACGTCTGAGCCTCTGTTGTTCTGCTGCTGCTGCTCTTCGGCGTTTGGTAATATCATCTATCTCAGTATCACTATCACCATTTGTATCTTCTACAGCTGTGTTCATAGATGATGTTGTAGTTATAATTTTTCGACGTTTTTCTTTAGGCCAACCAGTCATATTTGGTCGTTTTTTCTTTCGTTTATTAGATATCATGTCTGTACCTAAATCGGAAGACAAGGTTTCACCATAATTATTGGTTAAACGTTCAGTTAAAGCTAACTCACGTTGTTGATAATACATTTGCAGAGTTTCATCTGTTAAATTGGTACATAAAAACCTCTTATCTGCAGTTTGTTCATACATTATTTGTAAGCACATATTATCAGGTTCCCGATTACTATCAGTAATTTGAGACCAAATTTGATCTTGATCACTTTCAACTGGTAATATTATAGCATTATTTGAGAACTGGTAGTCTTCTTTATTTGAATCAAGAGTTTGTTTAAACTCTTGGGTTATGTTACAACGGTTTTGTTCAGCTATTTCTTGTACTTTAAGCAATTGTTGACACACGAATGCTGTACGTAATCTCTCATCTCGTGCTCGTCTCCTTACTACATCCACATGTTTTGTACGCAATTTAACTCTTTCTTGGTCTATAGCAGTATTTATAGAAATTCGCTGTGGAGCTGGTTGTTGAGCACACAATTTTGGGGGAGGTGGAGTAGTTGAACGACGTCGACGACGACGTTTAATGATACGTTTGTTTTCCATTTGCCGGCGATGTCTGTGATGACGGAATCCTGGCATAGGTTCATACTTTGGCATGGACATCTTCAATAAACACGGAACATCCATGTCTAAAGAATTTTTATCGGTTTCTAGATCTGCCTCTAGTTCATCAGATTGTTGATTTTCAACTTTATCTGGATTTCCAACTTTGTTCGACATGATTGCTGCTAATGTAGATGCATGTTGTCGTGGTGACTTCCGAGGACTATTTGATTTTATAACAGCTTGTAATAGCTTGTTTTTTCTACCAGGAGGCCGACCTTTTTGTCGTTTTACAATATTTGTAGATGTCGAAGGATGATGTCTTGCACCACCAGACACTTCAACAGGAGCTATTGCTGTTGATTTGCAAGCACTGCCACGTCTTTGCAGAACTGAAGTTTGATACTTTTTTAGTGTACACTTAGTTTTCAATGACGTTGAGTTAGAGCTACAAACAGTTTTACTGGTGGCTCCTCCCCCGCCAATCAATCTTATTTTACGTAACGCTTCTTTAGATATTTTTTTTTGAACATGACCTGTGAGTGATGCTGCAGAATATTCCCAACTTGTTGGCCAATATGTGCGACCGTATAAAGCTGAAGAACAGTTGGAAGAGGACTTCCAATCAGTACATTGTCTGTATGGTTCAAAAATGTTACAACCAGCTAAGAAACCATACTCGACTGAATCAGAGTTTGATTTGTTTGGCAATGAAGACTTGTCAATTACATTTATTTTTTCAACTATTAAATCTTTAGGATCATTAGATATCAATAAACGTTTTTCAGCAACAGCTTCTTCGATATCAGATTGTTTCCTTTTACGATTATTACTATTATTTTTACAAACAATATCTACAATAATACAATCTTCATCCCCATCAAATTCTGGGGATCGTACTGAACGTTTATCTGTAGCAGGATTAATATATATGGAATCCTTTTCACTATTTTCTAGCTCATCATCATAAATTTCAATATTATTACATTCATTCAATGACTTTTGTTGTTGCTGCAAACGTTCCAAACTAATTGCTGCTGATTCTACTTCAGTAATTGATGTGGTTAAATCACAGACTTTGCTCTCTTCAGATAGTTTAGCGGCTTGTTGTAGTGCTTTCCTATTGGCAATATGCTTCAGATTTTTTCGTCTTGGAGGCCGACCACGAGGTCTAGGAGTAGGAGTAGTAACTGATGAAGTAGAACAATTAGGTTGTACAGAATTCGATCCAGGAACTGTTGAATGGTGCAATGGTGTAGGTACTGTTGTTGATGATATAGTCCTTGTACGCAAACTGAGGCCTGAAGAATCATACTGAACCTTGTCATAATTGGTTTGCTTATCATGTTCGTCTGCAGTAATGTGCTGCTGTCCATTTGATGAAATATCTTTTGTTTTTTTGTCAATCACCTGAGTAAAGAGTAAAAACAAAATTATTAATCCTAAGTATAAATTGAACTGTTATATTTGTACACATATTATTGTTATGATGAATAGCAATCATGTTTACATGGGATAAGAACCAAAAATTGAATAAAAATTGTTTTTGATCTTTTATAAGATTATCCTAATACTTTTTTCTAATTTATTAACATTAAAATAACTTTATATAATGTAAGTGATATTTTGATATACAAATGATCAAACAATAATACCAGACATTCAATTCAGTAGTTATACAATATTGTAACAAAGATACCATTTATATGCTGCAATTTAAACCTTCCATTTCTTTAAAAGAAAAATACTTAATACCTAATATATTTTCTTTAGTTATAATTTTTAGAAGTGTAACTTAAGAAGGAAAACAGTTGTAGAAGCAAACACAACTCCATTTTTGTTCTTTAAAAATACATGTTTTTTCTATCTTTCGAATCAAAAGACAAGAAATTATCCATGACTAATTAGTAAATAAAACCCAAGGTAAGCAAAGACAAGCCAGAACCCAAACTCTAATTTTACATTTTACTTAACATATTTGTGAATAATAAAATGTTATGTTTAATATGTAAGTTAATATTTTATGAAAACATAGGATGTATACAAGCTTTTAATAAAACAAGAAATGTTTAAACAAAAATAAAATATTTTATTTTCAAGCTAAAAAAAAAATATGTTAGGTCGTCAGAAAGCAAAATTATTTTACTTTATTAACTAATTTAGAAGTTAAGGCTTAAGAACTATAACCAAAACATTCTTTATATTATATTAAGTGACAATTGTTTGTTTTTATCTTTGTTGGTGAATAGTAAGTAAATAATCCATAATATTTACTTAAAAACATTCAACATGTCTTTGATCATTTTCATTATTGCCAAACAGATGAAATAATACTGTTTTAATAATTCAAATGTTCAAAAAGTCATGATTAAGTAACATGGTATGAAGCCATTTTTAATATATTTGATGGAAGTCGACACACGAATCGCTCCGCTTTTGATTGGTTAGTAAATGCAATATAGGTAAAGCTATGATAACTCCACAGAAGTGCAATTTAAGATAGTATGGTTGCCCAATAAATCACGATAAATTGTCTTCTGAGATCACTATTAAAAACAGCTGGAAAATTCACCACTAGCACTTGCATGTAATAGTGACTATAAGCTCAAATACCGGGCTTTAAATTCTGCTTCTATATCATTACACATCATAATATCGCAAGGTTTAGTGGTGAATATTCAAGCTGCTCTGGTTATTTAATTTGTTTACCACTATAAAACGATCTTATCAGAGGTCGTTGGGCAACCATACTATCTTAAATTGCGCCCATGACACAGTTGTACATCATATAAATATCATACCTGCTTGGCTTAGTATGTACAAAATAATAATAATAAACCAAAATATTTACCACGACAAAATGCTAATGATTATATCTTTTGGCTAGTATTTATGAGTAAAACTTAAAACTATAAGGTTAGAATTGCTTTATTTGCTTTTAAAACATCAATTAATAAAGGTGTGACTCTAGGTAAAACTAAAACTATTATTATTTAATATATAATTAAATACCAATACAGTTTAAAATAAAAATGTTTTAATACCTATGTAATTAATGTAGTTAAATGAAATGTTAATGAATTTAAAATCTGGAGTTCAAAACTTAAATTTTTGTTTGGCTTAACTCTATTGGTAGTCTAATAATGTTTGGTTTGCTTATAAATATGATATAGATATACAAATTACAAGATCGATGGAGCATTAGTGTTTATTACATTTCTACTTATAGCTTATAAAGCCAAATACGGTGGGTCTCCATGTCTATTATGATAACACATTTAATGTCCATTTTATCAAATTTGTGTGAACAAATGCAAATTATGTTCAAATATTTAATGTTCAGGTTACAAGAAAAAAATGTCACCATTAACATCTGGTGTAATTAATTATAAATTGTTGTTTAATTTAAATTAGTCTTTAATAAAATAAGCTTAAAAACCATTTTTAATTAGCTCAATAGACCCACGTCTATTCCATGAGAGTATAATCTGTTTTCGTGCATCACAAATGATGTGATTGGTGCATTGAGAACCATGCGAGTATACTAACAAGGAATAGTTTATGTTGATTAGTTGGTGGGAGATGCACAACACTGAATATTCTCTCGTAGAAAAGACTAGGTAGTTAAACTGATTTCAATAATAATTAACTTCTTACAAATAAAAACATTATTATTTACCTCTATGGCAGGAGTTACTGTAGATAGTGGAGATTTTGTAGTTGTTATCATAATAGTGTCATCTATGATGTGTTCTTTACCAGCTGCTGAGTCTCGAGTCGAAGCTACAGAATTACTACTACTAGTATTGCTGTTGGTGGATACTGTTGAATTAGTAGGATTTCGCGTTTTTGGGTGTTGAGCTGTACTATTTACCATTTCTCTAATCACCTCATTGAAGCAATTATCAATAACTACGACTAATTCTTTTTTAAAAATACTACCAGTTGTTAATATTTTAGATTTTTCGGCAAACGATAATTCTCCTATCCGAGTGTTTGTGACTTTTTGTTCCTTGGAAAATTTTTTTTGTTCTTGTTTATCATGATTTACGCCGTTTGAACTAGATTTTAGAACTCGTAATTTAGGTGATGAACGAGCACAAGTCAATTTCTGTTTATTTTCTAAAGGTAAATTACTATTGTTCACGACACCGTCCTTGCCCAGTGATTGGGTGTTCTTCCCTTCATTGTTTTGAAATGTGTGGGCATTTCTAATAGAAAAAAAATGTCCCATACTAAATAAAATAAGTGTTTTTTGAATAATAATGGAACGTTGTAATTAATTACTTACTGTGGTTGATTGATTATCACAGGCGGAGGAGGATTTTGTCGTATCAAGTGATTTACGTCTTCAGGCGCAAGTCTATGTAACAAAACAAGTGGCTCATATGGCATTTGATATGATTGATGTCACAATTTTCGTTAAACATGAAGGTATCTCCTAGAAACATAATTTAACAGAAGTGTATAAGATAAGACATCTAACAGAAACCTTAAAGCTTTAAATACAGATATAGCAATGTCTGTTGTACCTAATATAGAATATGTCAATAACTACTAAGGGCAGTGTAAAAGCTCGAAAATCAAAAAGTTGGGTTAGGGCTAAGACCTGTAGCGAAAAACGCGTTTATAATATGAAAGCGGCAAAATACCAGATTTACTAGCTTGGAGAGATTCATCAGCTAGGGTACCTATAGCAGGTGGAGCGTCAGTTATGGGAGGAACACGAGTTGGACTTACGGGTAAGTTACCGATGGACGGTGGCCCGAAGATGTCGGAAAACGCGGTAGGTTTGATGGTACAGTCACCGGTCGTTCGGACAGTTAAATCGATAGACTAAAACTCTCTATCTTCGTGTCACCTATTGGTGGCGTAAACGTTGAGTCACTAATGTAAGCGTGGGGACGTCGTGGCGGCAGCGGTGACGACGGACGACGGCGACGACGGTCCGTCGGGTTAAGGCCGCAGCGGCAGAGATGGCGGCGGTGGCGGTGGCGGCGACGGCAGCTGCCGCCATAATCGATAGGCACAAAGACGACGGCACCAAACGTTGTAGATTCTCGGAACGGTGCGCAGCTGAGGTATTTGCTCGGTTTCGACGCCTATAAACACCGCGTCGTCGCCGATCCGGAACAATGGGCTGCGGGCGACGACTGTACGTTGTACGGTATGGCGACGGTTGTGCCTAGCACCTATGGATTTTCGTACACGGACGCGAGCGGAATAGGGACGGACACGGTTCGTGGTCGACGGAAACGCGTCCTCGGTTTTCGTGTCGGCGGACGGTGGGCGACGAACGTAGCCGTGCTAAGTGTTCTATATAGTGCTGAAACTGATGATTGGATGTCAAACACGGCACCACGACTGAGCGATATCGAAAATGAACGCCGAAAAACACAACGAAAGTATACACCGATAACGCGATAATAATAATAATTGGTCTAAAAATAATAATAATAATAGTACATAGTAATAATAGCTGCGGCAGTCGAGACAACTGAATGTAAGTACACGACGACGCGCACTCGATACTCGATGGTAATAATAATAGTAATAGTAATAATAATAATAATAATAACAAATACACACGGCGGCGGCGGCGACTACTACGACAACGATGGGGAGCAGCGGCAGCGGTGTGCTGACGAACGGGCTGCGCCGCTGCGGTGATATCCGTCCGCGGGGAAGGGGTTGGGGTGGTGTAATAAGGTAATACCAAAACAACGCCGACGACCGTTGTGGACGCGTCGCCGATAGACCGGCGGGTGGGCGGCCGACGGCGCACGCGAGCGACAGTGCGGCGTGCGTGCGTGCGTGCGTGCAATCGTGCGTGTGTTTGTGCGTGCGTGAATGCGTGCGCGCGCGTGTGTAGTGTGTACTGTGTAGTGTGTACTGTGTACAATGATGGCGAGGTGGTCGGTGGTGACGGGGACGAGAGCGGTGGAAAGTGCTGCGTGCGGGCCGCCGCAGCCGGCTTGGCCGTCCGGACTCCGGATTGTTGGCCGCTGCCGTTGCTGGCGCAACCGCCGGTCGACGGGCGCGCGCGCATCGTGCACAACACGCGACGCGCGCACGCACCGAAACGCACACGGACGGGCGACACAATCCATATAACATGCCGCGGCGGAACGAAAATACGAAATCGCGTTGAACAAAAAAAAAATATATATACGTACATACGTTAAACCTTTCCATGAGTTGGTTTCTAGTTTTTTTTCTCTTCTTTCACTTCCCGTCCGCCCGTCGTCGGTGTTATATATTATATATATTTATTTTTTTCACTCAGCTTACAGCGTTCGAGTTCCACACAATAATATTACGTGCTGCTCAAACGGCCAAACCCACTGTGTAATATTATTATACGCGTAATATTATTACAACAATAATAATATTATCATATCGGTATGCGCACTCGTCGGTTCTATGGCAGTTAATGTTAGTAACGTTAGTGACTGAGATATTTTAATATTATTATTTATCATGACGACGATTTTCTGTCAGCAAAAATCGCGATCGGTATTTTTATCGAAAACTTCGCATGCATTAACTACGATGTCTTATAATTAGGATCGTGAATAATTGATATGTGATTTGAAATTAATCGTCGTATAATAGTGGGCGCCGGTTAATTATAGATACCGTCCGTTCCACGACTCCCGATGGATCGAATTCGGGAATTCCAAACGAAATAGGAATTTCGACGATTTGCAAAACTTGTGCGCACGGTACGCGTTGTCGATGTATAATAAATAATAATATTATTAAATAGCGATAATTTTTTTTGTTAACGATGATCGTAAAATATTATCGTGTCGTCAACGCGACCATAAACGTAATAAAAATAATATTACTTTTTCGGCTCGTGTCCGATTTTCCAATGCGACGTTACGCCATGCGCCGCCGCCACGATATCCTCATACACGTATATTATATTATATATATATATATATATATACCTATATACCTATATACACATGCACACAAGCTATATAACACGGTTACGTTGACGATATAACGATTTATTATGACGAGTGGTGTGCGAGACGCATAGCGATTGCTAACGTCCGTCCAAGTGCGTTCGGCAGCGTAGTCGGTGTTACTGCACTGCAACTGCGTAGCATTATATTATTATTTATTATTATTTGTACCGGTGGATGACGGTAAAACGCCATGCCTACGGTGTACGATTATTGTTACAGAGGTCGATTTACAGACGAACAACGTCGCGTATTACTCATATTATAATGCCACGTCGTGTCGTTTTTCGTGAAAAAAAATGTGATAGAGACGCATATCCTTATTGTACTACCTAACCTGTATTAACGTACTCACGCGTATTATAATATGATGTATATAAATATGCCAATATAATAATATTATTTACATAGAGTTCTTGTCAATGATATAGAAAATATTGGACACTTTTTACTTATTATTTTGGTAGACAATATTTCAGAATGATTTTACCGACTGTGACATATCATATATAACAGACTACAGTACACCAACTACTTAACCGGCAGTTGACATTTGTAGTACTATAATAGTAGTAACTAATAATGCTTTATACTTTATAGCGGACATAAACGATAAACCTAAATAGAGTCCTCAAAAGCATAGGACTTGAGCCCAAAAGGTTTCAGCAAACAAAGAAGAGCGGGGCTCAAGACATAATTTTGATAGCAAAACAAAAATGTATTTATTACCGGCTACCTCTGTTTATTGTATATTAATGAACTACTGAACGACTAAATTCATAGTCCTACACTGCTGCTAAACCTTAGTCAGTGGCATCATAGTATATCACTAGTATCGTATAAAAAATATAAAATTGGTATTTTATCTCGACGTAAATAATGTAATGTTATCTTTTGTTTGTTTGCTAATTGTTCAATAATAATATTATTCGGTAATATACAAATGTAGGTAATAATAAATAATAATGTAAAATATTACTAATGGGTGGTAATGTAATGTAATATTAATATACAATATCAACAATTTGTAGTTTAAAAAAAACAATTATGGATGATGGTAACATTTTAATCATGTCATTGGTTAGGATATTAAGCCAATAATAGTGTATCTTATACATTTATACTGTAGTTATTATAGTTATTACTTATTACCTATTAGTTCTTAATTGTAAATGAAAAATTAAGATATTGTTGTTCTTCGTGGTTGCTTACTAGCATAGTAGCATCCAATATCTCATTAGTCATTAATAATGTTGAGATTGTAGAAGATAATAATTTTTATAATTTTTTTTCAAATATATACAACTCTATTGCCTAATTTATACATTTTATTATGGTGTAATATAAGATAATATGAGTAGTAATATCACAATAGTATTTAACATATATACACATACAAGTCATACAACATGCAATGATTTTCGTTGAAAATTGAACATTTTGTAAAACTAAAACTCGTTATACTCGTTATAGTACGTATATTATTTAATATAAACAAATATGATCGAAAGAAAGCCATTAAAAAATATATTAAAAACTTACCTACACAATTGATGTGTGGTTCATTTTTGAAAATATATATACAGTAGTCTTGTTAATCCGGGCTGGAAGGGACCAGACTATCCGAATTATCGAAGATCCGGATTAAAGAGAATAACGTTTTTTTAACTTACTAATAAATATAAACAAAAAACACCTTATGTATTTATACAAATTCAAAATGTATTAATACACAATTTTACATTACACGTTATTATTGTTATTATTACTATGATATCTTAATTATGGATAATACCGAATGTTATACACGAGTACTAAAGTACGAAATATAGATTGTCCGGATAAGTGAGACTTTAATGTGATTAAAATGTATAAATTATAACTAAATCAAATGGAGCTTTCATATTTTGTCTTTATCAACTAACAAGCTGAATTTAGAAAAAAAATTAACAGCTAATTTTATATTTTAATAATAATTTAGGTACTTCGTACTTGAATTACTGCATATTTTTAGATTTTTCCAGAGTTACAATTCTATTTCCATATTTTTTTAAACATGATTGGTGGATAGTATAAGTTTAAAAATATAAAACTAAATGCAGTAGATAAAATAATAATGTGTTCAACTATTAACCATGGTCAGATGGGGAATAATAAGTTCCCATACGAGAGTAGCCGGTAAAAAAGTTGCATTGGTTATTTCCTACAAATGTGTAGGCAGTAGGTACCTAAATATTAAATTCTTACACGAATATAAAAATGGGGTGTGCCATGGGCGCCGCGAGGAGGGTGCATCAGTTTGATTACATATTACATAATAAAATGTAATAAATATGTAAATATTAAATTATAAAAAATAATTTAAATTGATTTAAAAAACAATTTAAATAGGCAATTTAATAATATATATTATCTATTTATAAATAATAAAATATACAAACAACTAATTCATACTATCATAATTCGATAATAACAGTTAATTGATAAGATATGTACTTTTTTTACCGTGTAATGACTTAGGTACCATATACCATTTTTTTTGCCGTGTCAGTACTGAAAAATGTACCTACTAAGTACCTATCTATTTTTTTTAACCTACTGAGTCTCATATAGGCATTGAAGAAGACTGGGGAGGGCACGATCTTTTTTTAGATTTTAAGAGGAGCGATGAATGTATTGATTTTACAATGATGTGTTTTTTTCCGTCATCATTTTTGGGGTAGTAAAAATGCTTCAATTTTCTACTCAGGCATATTTTGTATAGGAAAGTGAATCTAGTGTTGGTACTTTGGGGGAAAAATATTTAAAATACTTAGAAAAAAGTAACAATTTTATTAAAAATTACACAACTATTATAAGTGTTCATTTATTGGTGTCACTCGTCACCCTGCATCTTAATAAATTATTTACGCTCTTACAAGTATATTCTAAAATTAATAATAATAATAATGAGAATAATAATTAATTATGTTATTTACTTTGTAACCGACTTAAACATAAACTATTTAAAAATAATAGAAATTAATAATATAATGTCTACTTACAATACCTATTAGAGCTGCCTTGGACGTCGCAGTACACTCGTGCACGTCTTGCAATAAAATGTATAGGTAGTAGGTACTAGGTAGTTATTATAGTCCGATCTCCGATGGTCGTATGCGAAATACAAGCGGAGTACTGAAGTGAATAAAACCTTATGACTAAATATTATACTGTTGGTGACAAAACTCAGAGTTAATAATACAACCTAAACGGGCATTACAATTTAATATTTACACTTTACACATAAGAATTATAATATACCCAAAATAGAAACAGTTGATGGTATAGCGGGTACACGGGGACGGGTCCCATGGCGGAATGAGTTAATTTACGGAAATGCGCGGTATTTTTAGAACACTAAATATTATGTTCATATTATATTATATATTTATATTATTATGTCTATTTTATACATTATTATTATTTATTATTATTGTTATATTATTATTGTTATGAATACCCGTGTAACTGTGTAACGTAGCTACGTAAGTAGATATATATTTTATACATTATCAATTATGTTTACGTATTTCTTTAGATGTAACTCTTCAGTCTTCACAAAAAATACTAAATATTTTTTAATTATTTAGTACTGCAGGAGACCATCGTTTTTTTATGTTG